GGAAAAGTCATGAAGAGGCCGGGCATTTGCTAGATAAGTATGCGGTGAGAGAAGTTTTCATCCCTTCATTCCAGGGCCAGGCGCTGAGGTGATTGACCTCTAAGCTCACTCCACCTCTGTGATGCCATGGTTTGGTCCCAGGGGTTCTGGATAACTGAGAATTTATTGCACACAAGGGCCAAGGGGACATGAAATATACAGTTTATCATATAGTTTTAGACTAAAATCACCTTGCCTTCCTCATTGGGAAATAGGACATGACATAAGGGAATCAAGGAGGCAATGAGCTGGGGAATCAAACAGCTCATGCCTTCCCAACTCTGCCCGTGGAATTCTGGGCGGCCATGGGGAACGTGTGCAGCCTCCTGGTGACTTAGGATCCACCATCTGTACCATATGGCTGATGCCACAGGAAGGAAGATTAAAAGTTTGATCTAAAACAGGAGCCACCATCCGTGGAAGGCTGTTCTGAGGCTTGGCACGCCACCCTCACGAGACCGAGACAGCTTTTGGGTGCAGTCTTGGGCTGGAGCTGAGAGCACCGTACTCCAGCTGCTGGTCCACTGGCCAGCCACAGGCCAACTGCCCTCCCCAGGAGGGTGCAAACTGGAGGAAAGTGGCGCTCAGTGGGGGAAGCAGGAGAAAGGAGAGTGGGATAGAGCCTTTTCACAGCTAGACTTAATAAACAGCCTGACATTTCCTGATCTGGAAGATGGGCCAGAATATAACAGCCAGAACATTATTATCCTTGTTCCTGCCTTGCTTCAACCAGCTACTGCCTGCTTTTCTCTGTCTACTCTGTTCTCATACTCTCAGAGGTAAAAGGAAAATATTCTCAGGCTCATGAGATATTATTTATTTCCAGCCTGCAAAATGCTTCCCAGCTCAATCCAATACTTCAAACGCCGAGACCTGTACAAATATCAACGTGCTAGTCCCACACTCCATCTCTCCTTAGCCTCCTCTCTTGGATCCAGCCCCACCTCCTTCCAACCCTGGATTCTCTGCTAACTTATAGGGCAGAGCAAGGGGCATGGGCCAGGCTGGCATAGAATCCATACAGATGAGATTTGCAAGTCAAGTTCTTGACCTGACTACTCCCAGTCAACAGTCAGGAAAGATTGGCTTTGGGTCAGTGTGATTTCTGGCCATCAATAGTGGGCTAAACAATAAATCCATATAGAGGGCAGCCCAGGCTGGTGATGAAGACACATTTGAGACCTTTAACCTCAGCCCTTCAGAAAGTAACATTTCTAATTCAAGTGCCACCTCTTCCAGGAAGTCTTCCCTTATTCTGCTAATAGCAATTACTCTTCATCTGTTCTCCTGTACTATCATGTTGGTACTTACCTTATAGTCCTTAAAAGCCCTCACTTCATCCCGCCTTGCACATGTCTGTCTCCCTACATAGCTGTTGGATCCTTAAGGGCACAAACTCCATCTTATTCATTGCTGCACCTCCCCGTGTCGCCAAGCACAGAGTCTTGCTCACTGCAAGCGTCAGTAAATGTTTATTGCATTGAGCTGAACTGCCCTTATAAATCCCAAGGGAAGATCAAGGAGGAGGCAGTGGACTCAGGAAATAATTAATCACAGGTTGATCAACATTTTTTCCTCTCCATTCCCTCCCCCAAACCAGCTGTGGCCAGTCCTTCTTAGCCTGGCCTGCTCAGAAGCGTCCTAAGAAAGAATGTGGCTTCCTCTGTCTCCCTCCTGGAGGGATTTGGATGGGTCACATTTCAGGATGGTACAAGTGGGGCCCAGAGATGGAAAGGGATGGATTAAATCACACAGCCTTCTAGTGGCCATCCTGGAGAACTCTGACAGGGACAAGGACCTCTGCCTTGCAGTAGGAGGAGGGAAAGCCAGTCCTGGGATGTCAGGGTTCTGGACAAGCTCTCCACAGGTGGGGCTGGAGAGGGCTGGGAAGCTAAGATGGTAGAGATGTGTAGCAAGGTGGCAGCCACTCTTGCCATCCACAGATGATATCCAAAGGCTCCTGAGATGGTATGACCCCATGGACATCACTCTTGGGTCACTGTGGAAGTGTTCACATCTCAAAGCAGGGCATTTCTAAGAGAAGTCCAGAGTTGCCACATGGATGGGCTTCAGGCCCAGGTCCTGATTTTTACGAAGCCTCGACCGTGAAGTGGGTGGTCCTGAAAGAGGTGGGACTGAGTAATAGCCATTCGCCCCTCTCCAGACTGTAATGCTGATGTGGTATAGTGAATGCTGCCCCTGCGTTATGCCTCGGTGAGTTCCCCAAAGTCAACGGGCCGCAATCTCCCTGAGCCTAGTAGACTTCTGGACCCCACTCTTCCTCATGCTGTCATACGTAGGCAGTGGCAGATGCTAAAATATTAAATTTTTGTACATCAACTTCAGCAAAGTATAGTTAGGAGCTAAATCGAACTCAGATGTTTAAAGCCTATTGTTTTGTCTCATCCATACCAAAACCTCCAAGCTAAGAAAATTAGCCTGTGAGCAGACATTAATTTTAGTGAAGACAGGTCATGGTCCTAACACTGGATCACACCTGTATAGATCCAAAGGCCCCAAGCCCCCAGGTTCCCCAGAAAACAAAGGCTAGTTCCTGCCTTGGAGGTTGGGGTGTTAACCCAGAGCAGGGCAGGCAGAAATCTACTCCTCTGGCTGTAAGCACCGTTGTATGGCTTCTAAGGGACTAGAAGAGCCATTTCTCTCCAACTAAGACATCATTTCCCTCATTGTTTTAGTCACAAACTGTTTCTCCCGGGGCACAAGTGCTGCTAGCTGGAAGTTCCTGGAAGAATCTACTGTAAGTGGGGTCCCTGCTGGATACCTCCCTGGGGAACTTTCCAGGCAACACACGCACATACACACACACACACACACACACACACACACACACACACACGCAGCTCAGGCCTGCAGGCCCCGAGGCTTCTAGAGCAAAGGCAAGATCCAGGGTGAAGAGCCTGTTGGGCTGGGAGAGACCCATCAGCAGTCTCGCAGTGCAGCCTGCTGGGCACGAATGCTGGTGCAGCGGAGAAGGCCGGGCGAGGGGTGTGGGGAAGAGTCTAGCCTACCTTCTGTCCACTTTCAACACCTGGGAAAGGAACCTCTAACCCCAAATCTCAAGTTTAAGCTTAAAGTCCTGCAGAAGGAGAAGAATAGCTAGTCCTGGGGCTTTCAGAATGCAAACAGATCTCCCACCCCCGCTGAGCTCTCAACTGCTCAATGCTGTAGAATGTTCCAAATGACTGGCATAGGAAGGAGCACTAGGGATCCATAGGTGGATCAGAAGCTCAGCACTAAAAATGAGGCACTGAATGCCTAAAGAAATAGGCAGGAAATACCTCTACCAGGCCTCTGTGTGAATTATATTCTCCCTGTATAAGACTCCCCTGCTTCTGTTGATCTTTCCACACAGACCATACAGGTGTAATTTCTACGTAAGGCACAAAGAGGGTACAATTCACATTAGTAAGTAGTAATGGAATGGCACTGTGACAGTAGGGAGCCAGTGACAGCTCAGGGAAGGTGGCCAAGGGCTGGGCTCTGTGGGCTGAGTCACCCTGACAGGTGGCAGCAGGAAAGATGGAAAAGAAGTGGTGGAAGAGAGAAATGGGGCTGAGGAAGCACCCCTGGCCTTGGTGTCAAACCAGAGACTGGGAAGTGGGAGAGAGGGCAGATGGTGACAAGGAGGAAGGAGCTGACTCTGTCAGCACCAGAAAAAGCGAGATGGGCCATTTGGAATGCAATGTGAAGTGAGTTTAGGGGGAGCAGCTGGGTGTGGGTTGGCTGTTCTCTACACCCTCCACCCCAGGTTTCTCTAGCAGCCCTCCAGGTGCCTTTCCTTGGTTTCCCTGTCTCTGTTACCCACCTATGCTCATAACGCCCCTGCCCCTTCCCTCTCCCCACTACTGTCACTTTCTCTTTCCAGCAGCATCTCGAGGTCAGAGAGCTCCTTGTACCCCTGGGTAGACAACAGCCCCCCACTCCCCACACACATGCTACCCAGTGTCCCTTCCCCTCCAGCCAGTGTCTGAGAGATGCTGGAGGCTGCAGCCTTCCCCACTCCCAGCCCAGCCACTGGCCTTGCCCAGGGGCTGTGGGAGCTCCTGAGCCATCTGATCTGGGAGGAGCGGTGGACAGCCTCCAGCTCCACAGCACACTGTGCCCCGTCTAGACAGATTGGAGCTCTCTGTGCTCAGGAACCACCAGACCCCAGAGCAGGGCTCTGCTCCAAAGGCAATTCTTCCCCTGCAGGTGAGGCTGCTTTGGTGGCCAAAACTGAATGCATATTGGAGCCATTTCCCACATAGCTGGCGGCCAGTCACCTGAAGTCTCTGGGGAAAAGACAGGGCTCTCTGGAAGGGAGAATTTTTATTTTTTAATCATATTTTAAAAAAATGAATGAGTAGTTGGAGAAAACAGGCGACAGAGTGGGTGGCCACTTGAGATGCAGAGAAGAAGATCAAAGCCCACCAAGCATGGAGGAAGCAGCCTTGGTGTGGCCCAGAGAACAGTCTAGGTGGCCTGTCCCTCGTAAAAGCCAGCCAGGGAATGGGAGGTGCTGGGTCAGGGTGCCTCCGTCACAGGCACCCCATGGCCCTGCTCCCTGACCCGAGCGCTTCAGTTAACGGTCTTCAGCTGGAACAAACACCTGCTGTCAAGAGACGTCCAACCGAGCTCCCAGTTCCCTGGGAGGGCCGGCCATCACATCTCTGTGTGGGAGGAGAACCTGCCCAAACTGTGGCCCCCAAGCTGCTTTCTTCTTCCAAGAAGAAGCTGGAATTTCTCCCTCTGGACTCAATCCTTCTGGCTGCTGCCCCTCTCACAATCCCAGCCCACAGCAATCAGCCAGGAACACTCTCTGTGTTTGCTGGCTGATTAGTTAGCTCACTAGAAGAGCCACAAGTGACTGTGTGGCAGTGAGTCCCTTATGCCAGTCATGGGGCCGAAAATCCCCATCTTTTCCAAATGAGCATGCTTTACCAAATTTCCTCACAGATCCCTCAGTTCAGCCTCCCAATTTCGACTACCAGGATCCTGAAGACCAAAGAGGCAATGTGACTTGCCCAAAGAAATAATAGCCCCTAGTGGCCTGGCCTGGATGAGAACCCAGTCTCCAGACTCTCAGCACAGTGCTTTCCCACTTCACAGTGTTGCCTCCCAACATTCCAGCTGGGAAGGAGGTTGGGCTCTAAGATGCCATCGAGTTTCTAAAGTCATCAATCCCTTTTAGATTAGTCAGACCTACTGCATTCTAGTAAGTTCTTTAAAAGGACTTTTTATCAATGTTCTGTAGAAGCTGGGGAAATTCCCAAGACAACAGGACATCATTTTAGGGGAAGGACTGAAGAAAGGGATTTCAGGACCCAGTCTCTCCTCTGTTCTAATTTGGAGAAGCCATGAAAAACCCATATTCTCTCTCAGACCAGCCAGCTTATTCCTCATGTGATTTGCCAGGTCTCTCCTTCACTTGGGCAACTTGGCCACTTGGACATAACCCAAAGATCTGCTTCACCTAGATCCTTCTCTAGGACAAACTCGAAGGACAATATAGGAGAGAGAACTCCATTCACCCCACTCTCCATAAAAGAGCAGGCAGGGGAAGAGTGATCATAGTGCTGAAGACCTCAAGATAGAAGTCATAGTACATCACTCTACATTATCTGCTGCCCCACACAGCCTCCATTCCCCTCGCCTCTCCTTGAGCTGCTTCCCCATCTGTAAGACATGGAGCAGGGGTATCATACAACCTAGAAAAGCAGATCCCTCTGCTTAGTCAATAGACTGCCAGGGGCCAAGAGGGTCGACAGATATCTTTCTGTATTTGTATCTCTAGGGTCCTCCCAAGAGTCCCCTCCCACATCTTACCTGATGAGGTCAATAGGTTGAAACTTATAAAACACTCCATAGCGTGCCCATTCTTGATACAGCAGCTAAAAAGGAAAAATAGGGAAATAGATTAGAGGTGGAAGGGGCAACTGTTCACCTTTTTTGGTCTATCCTAGCAAGTCAAAATTTAATCCTCAAAGCCCAGCTTCTAGAAAATTCTCATGAGACATCCACAAGGGAGATGCCTAAAGGCAGGAGGCTATAGAAGATGACTTCTCCTTCCTCAAATAATAAAGGTGACCTTTATCATACTCCACGGCAGTGCTACACCTAGTAATCATAACCCTGCCTTCTTTATTCCCTTATCTTGCTTAGTCCAGCTTAATCCAGCAAAATGAGCCCTGGAATTCATTTATTCACTCATTTAACAAGTATTTATTGAACATCTACTATGTGCCAGACACTGTCCAGACACTGGATACCGCAGTAAACCAAACAAAGTCACTGCTGTCATGGAGCTTACACCCTGGTGTGTGGAGACAAGTACAAACACACAAACATATAAGACATATAAATGCCATGAAGAAGAATACATCAGGTATTCTGGTAAGGGAGCAGAGTATGAAAGAGGGGTCAGGGGGATGCTATTTTAGATAGGATGGCAAGGGAAGGTCTCTCTGAGAAAGTGACATTTGAGCTAAGACCTGAAGGAAGTAGGGGAGTGTTCCAGGCAGAAGAACACTCTTCCTGTGTAAAGGCCCTGAGGAAAGTGTATGTGTCCTAGGAAGAAGAAGGAAGCAGTATGGCTGGGGCAGAGCATGGGGAGAATAATGGGAGATAAAGTCAGACAGTACTGGGGTGGCTAGATCATTCACGGGCTGGTAGGCCATGCTAAAATTTTTGGACTTTGAAGGAAGCCCTTAGGAGGTTTGCAGCAGTGGGGGAGAAATGATCGGCTTTAGATTACAGATAGCTCACTGTGGCTGCTGTGTGGAGAACACTCTGAGAGCTAGCATAGGAGTAAGGAGGCTATTGTAATGGTCCAGGGAAGAGTTGATGGTGGCTTGAATCAAGGACATAGTGGGAAAAGTAGTGAGAAGTGGTTGATTCTGCTTATACTTTAAAGGTAAAGACAATCAGATTTACTGTTGGATTGGATATAGGGTGAGAGAAAATGAGAACATGGCCTGAGCAACTGAGTAAATGGTGATTCCATTTACTGAAATGGGGAAGACCATGGGAAGACCAGGTTAAAAAGGGTGGAACCAACAGTTCCATTTGGGATGTGTTCATTTGAGATGACTTTAGGCATCCATGTGGGGATACTGAGTTAGCAGCTGGATATAGAAGTCTGGAGTTCAGAGGAGAGTCCAGACTGGAGACGTAAATTGGGCAGTTATCAGAGAAGACACGATTTGTAAAGTCATTAAACTAAGGATGCAATTGCCAAGAAAGAGAGAGTAGGAAGAGGTGAAGCCTGACGTCTGGGCCCTGGGTGCTCCAACGTTTAAAGGTGAAGGAGATGATGAAGAACAGCAAAGGAGACAGAGGAGCAGCCAGTGGCGTGGAGGAGAACCAGCAGTGTGTGTTGTTATGGAAGCCAAGGAACAATGGGTTTCACAGAGAAGAAAATGACCAGTTGTGTCAAATACTGCTGATGGGTCAGGTCAGAAGAGAATGGAGAAGTGACCATTGCATTCAGTGACTTGAAGATCACTGATGATCTTGACAAGAGTGGTTTCAGTGGCAGGGTGGGGGCAAAACCTGAGTGGAACACATTCTAGAGGTTAAGGGAGGAAATGATGCACCAAACACATCAGGCCATGCCATCTTGTGATGTTTTCACAGCAACTTTAGCAGAACTTTTGCATGTGGACAAAGCCTGAGCAGCAAACCCAGGGGCAAGCCATATTTTAGTTCCAAACACCTGGACAGTGAGCTTCACAGATCATCCACAAGTAAATGAAGTAATTTGGTGATGAACCGTCATTGGACATCATCTAGATATTCATGTTGAATAAATATAAGCACATAATCAAATTATATGTCTAGAATTGACAGATTTAGAATACAGTTGCTATCTTGTTATGTTTTTTCTTCTCCTTACACATCACATCTCCTTACATATCACACAGAAGTCACATGGAATTCTGTCAAGGAGAAGCTACTCTAATCAGGTATGTTGGATATCCAGCTGAACATTAGCCCCACAGGAAGCCATCCTTTCTACCTAAGAATCTCTAAGACATGATATTAAAACTGAAGTAGGAATTGGCATTCCTACTTAATGGCTATAGACTTTTATTGTCATCATATCACCCAACCACAAAATAGAACCGAAACTACATGGACCCTGATAGAGCAAACTGCACCCACAGTTACCACTATTTGCAATGGAGGGAACTCAGACAAAACAAAAAGGGGTCACACAGTGCACAATGGGCAGAGGAAGGTCTCAATTCATGAGTTTTGATGCTGCTCATTCCAGGCAAGTGACTCCTAATCAAATCTTATTGTTATTATTACATCTCCTCCTCCCCCTCAACTTGGGTCCTTCCACTGCCTTAGATTTTTATTCCCTCTCCCCAGTGCAAACCCTGGACTCACCAGCACCTGGTTCTCACAGTGACATCCTCTGTGGTCCAAAGGGAGGCCAGCTTGCATCAAGAGATACAAGCAAGGCCTCCTTTGAGGGCTGTGGGACGTCACTACCCACCTCATAGGCTCTGACCTCCAGAGAAAATTCCTCTCCAAGTCACATGCCCAGCCAAAACCTGAGCCTGAGAACACCTATTTGCCACTGCCCTGGAGGAAAAAGCTAAAAATGCTCCAAGAAGCCAGCGTGGCCCACTTGGCTCTGGCCCAAACTGAGAGCTGAGCTCACAAGCCTTACCCCTCGTTGGATCCCAGACCTGCTGTAAGAAACCTCCAGAAAGTCCCTTTATCAGTGCGCTACCCTCTAAACACAAAGTTATATCCATAGTTTAAGGCTATACGTGATGGTGAGCCAAGAAAGCTGTTTGAGCTCAGTGCAGAGGGGTTAGATAGACACAGAGGAGGAGATCATTAGGCAGCCCCTTCAAGAGAGCTGGAGCTACAGAGCACCAAATTTGGGAATGATGCAACAATTGTGCCTGGACGTGCATGTGGCTCTGCCCAGGCCAGCTCATACATCCATGCCAGGGAAACAGGGAGAGGGAAAGAGGGTGCCATAGACCCTTTTATATCTCTACAAATGTTTAATCACACATAGAGACCAAGTGGATCATGCTACACTCCAGGTTACAGGGTTCCAGAACAGATGAGCAGTCAGGGTGAGGGAAGGCATGATCTGGAGTCTCTTCCCCATGGGGATTAGCATGAGGTGAGTAAAGTGCAGGAGGACAACCACAGTAACCTGTAACAATCCCTTTAAACTTGCAGAGTCTAGAACTTTTTAATGCAGATTTTAGAAAATCCACTTTTTCCCTTAGAGCTACGTCATGTTCTCTTCACCGACTGGCTGAGCCTGCAAATAAAGCAGGGAGGGTCTGCAGCTCCTTCTCAAGGGACAGTGCCTCATTTCAGAGGCCCCGGATGCAATATTCCAGGCATGTCAGTCTGACCCCAAACCTTTGTAGCAGTAAGCAACAACACACAGGGACCACCCCATCTAATGGATCAGAGCATACACGTGGCCAGTTTGGCTTGCTAGGGATCACATTTGACAATGGGTCAGTTGATTTAAGTATTTCATGACACTATAAAGGAACCCAACTGTTAAAACCATTTGCAATGCCAGAGAACGGCAAGATATTTGAGACCCACGGCCCTCTCCAAGGCCACAAGCTCCTCAGCAAGCAGCTGGACCTGTGACAGGCAGAAAGTGCCAGCTGTAGCCAACTTAGAGGCCTTGATGGGACAGGGTGGACCTGAATGGAAGAGAATGGAATTCTACTCCCAGATCCTGCAATGCCTGTGAATTTTTAGCAAGTCACTTCAACCATCTAGGTCTTCTCCATTAGTAAAATGGGAGTTGTGCAGGATGGGAAAATTAATCTTCAAGTGAAACCAAGAAGAAAAGTACCTTCTTGACAGAAAGACAGGACTGACTCTCCTCCCACACGTTTTAGTGGGTCACTTTATAACCATCCACTAGAGAAGACAACATCTGCAAAAATCCAGGACCAAGGGTTTAAAAACTGCTCAAGAAAATCACATTCTAATATCGTGCCTTGGGTTCCCCATGTAAGTGGGTGGGGATGCCATAGGGAGCTAACGGGGGTTAGGCAGGCCTCAGAAGATGGTAATAGTCACCTCTCTGGGACGCTTGAGAAAACCAGGCAGCTCTGGCTAATGTGGAATTAGATGGCTGCTGGCAGCCAGGAGGCACCCATCCACACCCACGCTGCTCCCTCTTCCTGCTGCCCTGCTTTCTGGAAAGGGGGAAAGCCCTGTTCTCCAGAGGGAGGGAGCCTCTTTTTAAGTACCCTCCAGGAGGGGGAGAGAGAGACTTCCAGCCCCTCGCTGGGGCTGAGTCATGGAGACTGCACAGCTGCACTAGGCAAACTGGAGGGCAAGGAGACTGCATTCTCAAGGGCCTCTGGGACTGACTGAGGTCTGCCTACCAGAAGCCCGGGCCTCAGGGAGATTATGGGAACAGCCACAAACTGCAGGGAAGGGTGAAGGAGAACATCCAGGCACTGACAGGATAGGCAGCTTGGGATGCCCTTGCAAATCATCCCTAAAGGCCCCCAGGGACGCCGTCCCACACTGCCGCTCCCAACTCTTCTCCTTATCCTCCAGCAACAAACACAGGAGTTCTCCCTTGCACCCAACCAAAATCCTTCCTGCAGCCCTCTTGAAGAACACTAGACTGCTATGACGTAATAAAAATGAATAAATATGCTGCACGTATTCAGAGGTTTGGGCTCTTTCTTCTTTAGGATACCTTTTAGGTCCCCCCCATATACCACTGAAACTACAGGAAGGAACCCAGCACTGTCGTGAGAATTCCCCCTGCCATACACAAGAAGCTCTGTCAACATGGCTGCAGAGAGCTGGCTGGGATTTGAACACTGGGGTTTTAGTCCTGACTGCACAATCATATACACACATTAGAACCGCTCTCCTCACTCTGCCGAGTATCAGCTTCCCAACCAAAATGGACAGAAAAGCTTTCACCCTCACTCATGGTTTCTTTCATACCCCATCATAGAACATTTATTTCCCTAACCATGACCCTAGGAGAGAAAAATAAAGACACCAGGACTGGCCAGAAAACCTAAGAAAAAAACACAAGAAAGAGGTCTCTTGTCTTTCAAAGACACTTTTCCACCTTCACTGAGCATCCTTTTGACATCAACTTTGGGAATTATCCACCAAGACGCAGCTCTGTCCTGGCTGTCTCTCCCTGCCTCCCAACTCAACCCAATCCACCAGCTGGGATGTGCACTGGGAATAACTCTATTGGCCCAAGAAAAACATTTCCTGGGAGGAAAATTTACTGTTAAAAGGTTTTGCTGTTAATAATAATATAATATCATTCCCAAGACAAATACACACATATTTTGAATAGTCTACAATTTGCTTCTCTCTGCCTCTGTGCATATAACAGGGGGCTGGCTGTGAGTTTCTGTGTGTTCCTCATCTCTGGAATGTTCCTGTAAAGTGCTCTACCTTGACAGGCTGGGGTCACCACCCACCCAGCAGGAGGTTTCTTAGGTGGGCAGAGGTGGTGATCACTCTTTAAAGGGGAGGAATGTGAAATTAGAGAGTGGGAGGACAGAAAATGGTTGGGGTGAGGGAGGTGAGATGTGGGGAGAAATGCTTCCTCCTTTCCCTTTAAATTTGATCCGGGACTTTTCAGGAAATTAAACACCGAGACTATTAGCATCAGATAGAAAACAGATGAGGTTAAGACATCACAATACTACAGCAGATTCCCTGGGCAGGCAGAGGGGAACATGTGTAAGCAATCACAGCAGTATTTCTGGAAAAGACCTTTTATGTTTTTAATACTTAACACTTCATAACAGGGACTAATAGGCAGGATAAAAGAAGGCTGCTCAAAAAGCAACTTGGGGGATGAATGATTTTCCAGACAACGGAGCTGGGGGGAGGAAACTTCTTGGGCTTCAATTCCTCACCCTACCACCCCTGCCCACCCTCCTCTGCTCGGCAGAGTTTCTGAAGGCTGGGGGAAGCTGGACGGGAAGATGGCATGAGGGGCTTGACAGCAGACGGGACAGTCCCCACTAAAGAGGCTGGGTGATCCTTAGAGTCATGCCATGGCAGGGGAGGGTGGCACACCCATGTTCCCAGAGCGTGAGTAAACAGAAGAAACGGGATCGAGGTGGAGGGCTGGGGAGAGAGCTGTACAGTCAAGAGCCGTGACTGGCCTAGGAGGGATCCTTCCAAAGGGACCCTTTCCCTCCTCTAACCATAACCTCCAATTTCTAGCTGCCCAGAATATACAGCACGACTGAGTCTGCCTCTCCCTCAGATTTCTCATCTATAATTTGGGAATAGCTAAACCTCATTTGTCTGCCTAGAGGATGAAAAGAATAACCTAAAGATGACCCCCCGAAAAGCCATGATGGCATGGATAATAATACATTTTTAGCAGGGATACTGGATTAGAGAGTCAGAGGTGTTCCAAACCCCATCTCTGTTTCTCATGGCAGTGTTATCGTGGGCAAGGTGCTCAGTCTTTCTGTGTCTCAGTTTCCCCATCTATAAATTAAGAAATTTGGACTCTCAGTATTTCTCAGTTGAAGCCCTCTTATCACCAGGGGGCAGGATAATGCTTTTGTGTGGGATTGTTGGATATATTTCAGGATGGTTAGCATTGCTGGTCCATCAGGCACTAAATGCCAGTAGCACCCACATACACACAGTCACGTCAATGACCAGAAATGGCCCTCACGTTTCCACATGTCTGGAGGGCAGGGAGCTGTGGAAGAACTGCTGAACAATACACAAGCAGGTGAACACCCAGAAGCAGGGTAGCCGGATCATATGGTAGTTCTATTGCTAATTTTTCTGTCTTTCACATACTGTTTTCCACAGTGCCTGCACCAGTTTGCAGTCCCACCAGCAGTATGTGCGAGTACCCTTTTCTCCACATCCTCTCCAACACTTGTTATTTCTTGTCGTGTTAATTAGAGCCATTCTGACAAGCGTTGAGGAGATACCTCATTGTAGTTTTGATTTGCATTTCCCTAATAATTAGTGATGTCGAACATCTTTTCATGTGCCTGTTGGCCATCTGTGTATCTTCTTTGGAAAAGTGTCTGTTCAGATCTTTTGCCCATTTTTCAATTGGGTTGTTTGTTTTTTTGTTGTTGAGACGCATGAGTTCTTTATAGATTTTGGATATTAACCCCTTATCAGATATATGATTTGCAAATATCTTCTCCTAATTGTTAGGTTGTCTTTTCATTTTGTTGATGGTTTCCTTTGCTGTGCAGAAGCTTTTCAGTTTGATGTAGCCCCATTTGTTTATTTTTTCTTTTGTTTCCCTTGCCTGGTGAGACATGGTATTCAAAAAGATGCTGCTAAGACAGATGTCAAAGAGCATACTGCCTATGTTTTCTTCTAGAAGTTTTATGGTTTCAAGTCTTACATTCAAGTCTTTAATCCATTTTGAGTTAATTTTTGTGTATGGTGTAAGATAATGGTCTACTTTCACTCTTTTGCATATGGCTGTTCAGTTTTCCCAACACCATTTATTCAAGAGACTTTCCTTTCTCCATTGTATGTTCTTGGCTCCCTTGTCGAAAATTAGCTGTGTGGGTTTATTTCTGAGCTCTCAATTCTGTTCCGTTGATCTGTGTGTCTATTTTTGTGCCAGTTCGATGTGTTTTGATTACGATAGCTTTGTAGTATATTTTGAAATCAAGGAGTGTTATATCTCTAGCTTTGCTCTTTTTTCTCAGGATTCCTCTGGCTATTCAGGGTCTTTCATTGTTCCATACAAATTTTAGGGTTCTTTGTTCTATATCTGTGAAAAATGTCGGGACTTTGATAGGGATTGCATTGAATCTGTAGATTGCTTTAGGAAGCATGGACATCTTAGCTGTGTTAATTCTTCCAATCCAAGAGCACAGAATATCTTTCCATTTCTTTGTGTCTTCTTTTATTTCTTTCAATAATGTTTTACAGTTTTCAGCATACAGGTCTTTCATCTCTTTGGTTAAATTTATTTCTAGGTATTTTATTCTTTTTGTTGCAATTGTAAATGGGATTGTATTCTTAATTTCTCTTTCTGCTATTTTGTTATTAGTGAATAGAAATGCAACTGATTTTTGTATGTTGATTTTGTATCCTGCAACTCTACTGTATTCATTTATTATTTCTAATGGTTTTTTGATGGATTCCTTAGGATTTTACATATACAAAATCATGTCATCTGCAAAGAGTGACAGTTTTACTTCTTCCTTTCCAGTTTGAATCCCTTTTATTTCTTTTTCTTGTCAGATTGCTCCGGCTAGGACTTCCAATACTATGTTAAATAAGAGTGGCAAAAGTGGGCAGCCTTGTCGGGTTCCTGTTCTTAAAGGGATAGCTTTCCGTTTTTCACCATTGAGTATGATATTAGCTGTGGCTTTGTCATATATGGTCTTTATTGTGTTGAGGTACTTTCCTTCTACACTCATTTTATTCAGAGTTTTTATCATAAATGGATGTTGTATGTTGTTGAATGCTTTCTCTGCATCAATTGAGATGATTGTGAGATTTTTATTCTTCATTTTGTTAATGTGGTGTACCACATTGATTGATTTGCAGATGTTGAAACATCCCTGGAATAAATCCCACTTGATTACGCTATATGATCTCTTTAATGTATTGTTGTATTCGATTTCCTAGTATTTGGTTGAGGATTTTTGCATCTATGTTCACCAATGATGTTAGCCTATAAATTTCTTTTTTTTGTGTTGTCCTTGTCTGGTTTTGGTATCAGGGTAATGTTGGGGCCTCGTAGAATGAGTTAGGAAGCTTTCTCTCCTCTTCAAATTTTTGGAAGAGTTTGAGAAGGATAGGTATGAAATCTTCTTTGAATATTTGGTAGAATTCATTGCAGAAGCCATCTCGTCCTGGATTTTTGTTTTTTGGGAGGTTTTTGATTACTGTTTCAATATCCTTACTGGGGATCAGTCTATTCAAATTCTCTATTTCTTCTTGATTCAGTTTTGGAAGGTTGTATGATTCTAAGAATTTATCCATCGATCCAGCTATTCCACTTCTAGGTATTTATCCAAAGAACATGAATGCATAAAGATATATGCATACCTATGTTCACTGCAGCATTATTCACAATAACAAAAACTTGGAAACAACCTAAGTGCCCATCAATGGATGAATGGATAAGGAAGATGTGGTACATATACACAATGGAATACTACTCAGCTATAAAACGAGATGAAATCTTGCCATTTGCAACAATATGGATGGACCTTGAGGGTATTATGCTAAGTGAAATAAGTCAGATGGAGAAAGTCAAATAACGTGTGATCTCACTCAGAAGTAGAAGATAAAAACAACAACAACAACAAACAAGCACATAGATACAGAGATTAGATTTGTGGTTACCAGAAGGAAAGGGGAGAGGGAAGAGAGTAAAAGGGGTGATAGGGCACATGTGTACTGTGGATGCATAGTAGTTAGTCTTTGGGTAGTGAATGTGATGTAGTCTACACAGAAATTGACATATAATGATGTACACCTGAAATTTATATAACATTATAAACCAATGTCACCTCAATAAAAAATAATAACAATAATAAAAAAATAAAGAAAGCTCATTAAATTAGAAATATATATATATATGCAGGTAAATAGAACATTTAGGACACTTTCACACCCATCCATGGTCTTCTGTGCCCAAAGCATTCAGCGCAGCATAAGGCGGGCTTACCTTTCTGTCATTCATGTCATCCCCTGGACTATCATATTCACCCTGTAGGAGAGAAAGGGATGCTGGATAAAGCCAATGGAATTATCAGAAGCAGAGAAAGCATTTTCTTCTTTATTTTCTAATGTCATCCCCTTTTTTCATTTCCATCTGAGGAAGGTCAAAAGCATGACTTGGTAAGGAGCCACTGTTCTGCTTTCTTAGTCATCAGCACTTGCCATGTTTCCTGCGGACAACTTCTCACACAAAGATGCTCCCCTCGTATGCTCTAGAGATCAGCCCATGCCTCCTCATAGCAAATGGAATGGCAGAGCCTGTACCTGTAAATGGGCTAGCATATCATATGCAATCACCCTGTGCCGTGTCATGTTCACCTCGGTCCATAACTGCCAGAACCTAACCTCATATACGCCCACAGCAAAGACGTCAGTGAGGAGAAGATTGTCATCTGGGAAATTCCTCAGGCACTCAGGATCGTCCCTCAGTAGCCTCAGTTGGCATGACTAGTGTGACAGATGCCAAGACCAATCAGATGAACAGAGCAGCTGTGGGGGCATTTAGCTCATGGGCCAGTTAAATTCTTCATGAATCGTCTTGAAGAATATCATTGCATTGCATTATGGGATGTTTATAACATCACTCCCAGCCAAGGAAAGGTTTAATTACAGTCTCTCTGTTTTTTTTACTTAATCAAACAATAGTTTAAGGAATTTTGAGAGATTTCCTTCAAAAATGTTAAAGTAAAAAAAAAAAACCTACACCGAATATGTACTTGCATATTCAGGAGGAGGAATTTCACATCCACACAAAACTATTACACACAAAATATGGCCTTCAGTCACTTAAGGGTCTGACAGGCCAGGTTGTATACTGCCAGGCCTTCAACTTTCCTTCCTCAACCATCCACCTGCCTTCACCAACATGTCCTCCTTTAACCACTTGCATGCCACATCTGTCTTCTCACACTCTCCCCCCCGAAAAAGGCAGGGAGTGTAGGGAAAGCTCAAACAAAAACCAGTTCATTTTCCCTCTGGGGAAATAATTGGAAAGACAGTTTGAGACAATTAGCAAAAATAAAATTGGGGATTATTGTCAATCATAAGCAGTTCAGAATCAGCCATGGCATTTTAATGTCATGTTCACTCCTGCCTCACCATGCATACATTAACCCACTGTGTCGCCTGTGGTTTTCAACATTTTGAAGACTACAGGGAGCATGCGGATAGAAATGTACTTACGTCATGAAGAGGGTAGGCAGCCTCATAGACATTGTTTGCGATCAGAGAGTTAATACCTGGAAGAAAGGAAGATGAGAATAGTAACTCTAGGGCAGGAGTTTCTCAACTTAACCTTTGTCCTTTGGTAAATATTAAACCCTCACCCATCCCTCAGCTGAGAACCACTGCATCCTCCTCTATATCCCACCAGTCTAGAAGTTTTTGTTGAGTTTTAGTTCTTGGTATAAGAGCAATATTTCTTCATTTCCCAAATACAAAGTTATGTTTTAATATGAAATATTTCTCTCAAACTTCACGCTCCTCCTTTCCTCACACATTCAGATCACTCCAGTCTAAGAACCTCCACCATCGCCACCATCTCCTTGGCCACAATTGTTAGCTGACAATATCTGTGTTCAGTGACAGCATAGGAATGATGATATGGATTACTGTAATTGTGAGCAACAGAAGTATATGTCACAGCATTGCACAGCACTTTATCCGAATTCTTTCTGGAGCCTTCCTGTTCCTTCACAGGGCAGTGCTTATTACTGTCCCTGACTGATCTGTCTGGACCATTAGATCCCTGAGGTAGGGGGCAGTAGTGCAGTAGTTCTCAAAGTGTGGTATGGGGAACCCTGGCAGTCCTCGTGACCCTTTCAGGAGGTTTGTAAGATCAAAACTATTTTTATAATAGTACTAAGACATTATTTGCTTTTCACTCCTATTCTCTCACGTGCATTCAGTGGAGTCTTGTGACATGTGATGACATCACTCCCTTGACAGCTCAGGGAATGTGTGCTTGTGTATCTTTGTGCTTTAAAATTTTCTCAGTGTTAACTTCTAGTACAATAAATATTGATCGATAAATATTGATCGATATAACCCACCTAGACAAAAGCCCTTTGGGTGCTCTCAATAATTTTTTAAAGGGGCCCTGAGAACACAGAGTTTGAAAAATCACACAACAAGGGATTCATTTTTTAAATCCCAACAGTATTTCACACCACTTTCCCGTAGCAGACCCTACTAAATATATGTTAAATGAATGAATGGTTCTGTCCCCATAACTCCACTATCCTCACAACAGAGAACTTTTTGCTCAACAGAGTCATTGTTATTTACTTGTCTCATTCATGGTTTTAGTCAGACTATAAAGTGGTCTATATGTTCTGTCTGATTCAGGATCGTCTGTCCCGGCTCCCAGATGGGAGGGATTATATCTCACCATCTCACAGCACCGAGGATCCTGCCATGCAAGGATGCACATTCAATCACGGAGAGGGAGGGGGAGGGGCAAGTCTCTGGTACACAATGATTTCTCTTGCCTCAAACACACTTTCTGCCCTGAATCATTCTTTCCAAAGAGACTGCAGACAGGAAGAAGATGAAGAGAAAACTGGTTTTGGAGGGAAACACGTATGATGTCCACATGCTAAATAATCTGCATTTGCGCAGCTCTGGATAAAACACCAAGGTTGGATAACAAATCTAGACAACAGTTACTCATTAAAATTCATGGTTTTCCACCTCCTCTTCCCACTCAATGCCCCACCCACATGCTCAGAGACCGAAGAGGCTCTCAAACAATCCACTCTCCTCCATCAGCCTCCTCTTCCTCAAAACTTGCCCCTATCCACCTCAGTTCTAGGACGCTGAATGCCAGAAAGATCAGCCATGGGCCCCACATGGGAGCAGAGGCCCTTGGGAGGCTGCAGGGGGCGCTCAGTGAAGTGGCCTCTTCCAATGAGTTGAGAGCTGAGTGTTTTGGCGCTGGGGCACCACCAAAGGGCCAGACCTTTCCTGATTTTAAGTTTCCTCTTTGGCATGAACATAAAACATCAGAAATAACTTTGGGGGGTGGGGGGAGCAGAGGGTGGGTAAAGGGAGTGAGGACGGGGGGAGGGGTGCCTGGAGGGTGAACGAGCTACAGATTTGTCTTACTCACATGACTACAATTTCACTCTGAGCATCATTAATCAGTTCAAGAGCCATAACCACAGCAATGTGAAGCCACCCTACAATAATCAAGGGGAGGAGTCCCAAGTCGGGAGGGGGATAGATAGTTCAAAGCTACAAAAGAGCAGTTGATGTGGATAGAGACTGAAGCGTCACAGGCAGGTAGGGCTCCAACTAGACCCTACCCCACACACCGCCCCACCCATTCCCTGCACTCATACCCCGTGGCTGCCACAGTGCAATATATACCCTGAAGACAGTCCCAAAACTGCGTGGAAAAGGTTAGGCAGAACTCTTCTGCTAATTCTCAGCTTTGCTTATTAGCACTGTAGCCGAGCGTCTGAGAGCATTAGACTGACAACCTGAACTCCTGAGTCCTGCTGCCAGATCCCCAAAACAACCTCAAATCGTTGGAGGTCTACAGCTATGCACTCTACCTCCCATCTTAAATAAAGCTTCCTTTGTGCCACATGCCTGAAGCGGGTGGCTCATTTCACTTCTAGGATGTCTGCTCATTGTTTTGTGTCCCCCAAAGGCCTACCTGAGGTCAGAGAGTACCCCTCTCACTTGTGTCTCTCATGCACCTAGTTCACTGCTGGGAACACAGAAGGGATAATGGTTGTTGAAAGTAACCAGCCCTGTGGCTAAAGTTATCTCAGTATCTCTTGCCATTTATCACAGGTACCCACCTTCCTCAATACTTCAGTTTTCTTTGACAACCCATGCTGATGAAGAAACTTTAAACTCTGGTTGCTTAGTCTGCTTCCTCAGAGAGGAGGCCCACACAAATGGTTCTTTGCTTTGAAGCCAATACAATTCAGGTCATCAAATCTGAGTCATCCCAACCCAAATAACCAGAGCCCCCAAATGCTGTAATTGAATGTGTCTCTGTCACTCATGGTTGTATACCTCCTCTTTTTCAGGTAGTTTCAGATGTACAACCTCATCACTGGCTTTGGGGCGGAGGGAGGGGACAGTACATAAAAGGAGGAGGAATGGGGAGGGGGGAGGCAAGTTGAAAAGTAACTACTCATCCACTTCACCCAAGAATGGGAATTGCTCTGGCCTCTCTGTTCACCCACTTCAGAAACCAAGATTCTACTCCCAAACAAGCATGGAAATCAGTTTTAAAGAAGAAGAAAATAATCAAATGTTTTTTAAAGAGTCTCTGCTTTGAAAATTGAAATTCTGAATTTTTTCCTTTCTTTTCAGCAAAAATGGGCTAATTGGTTCCATCATGTGCCATCCATCTGGCCATAATGGCAAAGCTTTCTTCTTCAGGATCACATCGATAGTCCTTCCTCTCTGGTCTAGACCCAGGGAGAAGAGAGACCCGACCTCTCGTCCTATTACTCCCAGAAGTGGGGCCAGGGAGGAGAAAGCACGGAGGACATTTTCCTTTCCCCCTCCCCAGAAAGAGAAGCAGTGCCTCGGCTCAAACAAAGCACAGCTCACTGAGGACCCCCTCATTGATCCCTAAGCCCCTTCAAATCACCAAGTACTTCATCCCTGTTGCTTTAGAACTATAATCCCCAAAGGAAAAGGCTCATGCTTCCTCTCTGCCTAGCACTGACCACAGATCTACACAGCCTGATCCAGCCAGGCCTAGCCACACCATTCCTCTGCATCCATAGGGTCAGGGCCAAGAACAGAGCAGAGTGGGCTCAGGCCCCGGGACTGATACTCGAAAACACACACTCATAGCACAAAACCTGGGGCCTAGCATTTAGCTTCCGAGACATTTCTGGTTTCCAGGACACAAAGGATCAACCAAGGCACAGTTTATGGTCTGCCTCCCAAAGGGAGTCTCATTAAATCTCCAAGTACCGCTGGGTGACCAGGACTATGGCTCTATTCCCTCCAGGCCAAACGCAAAGGAAACTTTTCTCCATTGGCACAGGTACTTAGAGGGATGGTGTTGAACTCCTGAAAACCCATTTGGTTTTGATTCCCTGCAGAATAGGTCCCAGTCTGCCCGGCGTTCTGCTTTCATCCCTGTACCCCAGCCGGACGCAAATCTAAACCAGAGTCCCCAGCCGGTGCATTTAACAGAGACTATATTTACCCATCACCAAATTGTCTTGACATGCGCTTAATTACCTAAATGCCTTTAATCCTGAGCCTTTTCTTCTAACAAAATATAAACCAGTTCAGTTGGATGAATGACAAACCAGATGTTTACAACACACAACATGGTCTGGCTTCGGTCAAAATAATTAAGACATTGTCTCCTGAGTGGGGAGGGGAGATGCCCAAAACATACATTTGTTTAAATGATGCTCTGACACCAAAATGTCTATGAAAATGAAGCTCTGTCAATCTATAACTTTCTGTCCATGAAAAGGAAATAAGTTCCATAGGAAGGAGTAGAAAATGTGTCTGTCCTCTTCTGACGTGGTCAAGGAGGCTTGGGTTTCTTTCCACTGTAAAGTGCACTTTAAAGGCATTCCATGATGGGATAAACTCACAGGGCCCTGCCCACTGACCTTATGTTATGTTGAATAAAGGGACATCATGGGGCTGGGCCAAGTTCGTGATCATTCACATGCTACTACCACCATGCAGAACCCAAACTCACAAATACATCAGTCTCTGAACATCATGTGTGCATTAGTCCGTAATGCTTCACTTCCAGGGGTAAATAAGAGGGAAAGGTTGAGTTACGGAAGGTTACCCAAGAAAGTTATAGAAGAAACCTCCAAAATTAACAGACCAAATGCCAATCCACCCATCCTTTTTCAAGGTCAGTTCCCCTTTCTTTGCCTTCTTATGCTAATTTTTACCCTCCTGCCTCTCCTCCCACCAAAGGAAAAAAAAAAAAAGAAAAGAAAAAAGGAGACAGAAAGTCCAAGAGCCCCTACTGCTGGCTAGGACATTAAAAGAGACAGAAAATCCATATAACAAACGTTAGAAAAAGAACAACAAAAATTAGGCCTTTCACAGAGATGACTTGGTTATCTTTGGGTACTTCAGAAAACCAATGGTCAAACCAAATGCAGAGCACTCTGCACGACTCTTCACAGTCCCAGACTTAAGTAGGTCAAGACCTGTGACAGCCCATCCCATATTTATCTTTACCTAACTTTAAAGAGTTCCCAAGAATCACCTGGGTAGCTTG